GTGTGACATGGATGGTGATGGGCTGTGAATGTATGGCAAAGGTCAAACATGTCTATATGCTGTCTATGTGTGCACCAAATTTTCTTTCATATTTTTAGTTCTCTGAGGTATAGCCTTTGACTGGGTTGACTTGTTTGTGTATGTGTATATTTATTTATATTTCCATTGCATTAATTTGCAAATATTCCTGCAGTGTGACAGATGGATTTTTATAAGTACAAATATTCCATGTAGACTTTCAATTAATAAGGGTCATAAAAGCTGCTGACTTATTAGTTATAAATATCTACTAGTGATGTACCAAAATGATTTTTTACTAAAACACCAAAGCCAAAAATACATTTTATTTAATAATCAATTGATTAATCACATTGTTTAATAATTAACACTCAAATAAAAACGGACTTGTACAAACTATGAAACATACTATTATGTTTCTACTCCAATTTGTTGTTGTAAATATTTAAACAGTGGCTGTAATAGAAAAACATGTTTTCATGACATACTTACTCAAACATAGGCTACATGAAATAATTAAGACATCACTTACAGGTTAAGTAAAAATATAATGAATAATGTAGTGCATATAGCCTATTTAGCCAAATGCTCTTCTCTAGAGTTTCGGCCCTCCAAAACCATTGGGCTAAAACTAAAATGGCTGTTTCAGCAGAAAATGTTCGTTTGTCGAAAATTGTGGTGCATCATTAATATCTATGATCAATGCTTTGGGGGAATGCAGCCCTGTTCAGTTAGATGGGTTACTGAGCATGCAACGGTTTAAATTGTTTGGTTCATACTCAAATGCTACTTAAAGGGTTAGTTCACCCAAAAATGAAAATTATGTCATAATTACTCACCCTCATGTCGTTCCAAGCCCGTAAGACCCCCGTTCATCTTCGGAACACAGTTTAAGATATTTTAGATTTAGTCCGAGAGCTTACTGTCCTTGTCCAGAAAGGAAATAAAGACATCATCAAAGTAGTCCATGTGACATCAGTGGGTTAGTTAGAATGTTTTGAAGCATCGAAAATACAGTTTGGTCCAAAAATAACAAAAACTACGACTTTATTCAGCATTGTATTCTCTTCCGGAATAACACGGAGGAAAACAGAAACGGGGAAGGTGAATTCAGGGCAGGATGAGAAAAATCAATATTTGTGGTTTTGGAATATTTTGGATACAGGAGAGATGATGTGTTATATTGCCAGGTAATTTGCAACTATCCTTGCAGGAGACGCTTTTTTAAAAGTTGGACTTCTTTTAACTTGAGCGCTGCCGCTGGGTAGAAATGCTGTGTCATGCGGGAGATGCTGCAAAAGGCACGAGCGCAATGGTTAAAGACGTCCATCTAGTGCTTGATTACATAGAAAAACAATGGCACACATTCTGAACCAGATGAACAAAAATTCATAATAAAGGCATTTGCGAACTGAACAACATAAGAGTTCAAAAAGGCATGAAGAAATAACCGACGCCGTCACATAAGCTATCATTTATGCAAAGATATGGTGCCCGCAAATATCATCAATAAGACAATATGTGTATAAGGAAATATTGTTAAAAAAAAAAATCGCAATATTGCTAAAAAAAATCGTGATAGCTTTTTTTGTCCATATCACACAGCCCTATTTTACATTCTGTTTAATGAAAAAAGTGGGTTTTCACTTTGTCATTTGATGTACTGTAAGTGAATCAAAGACAGTTTGTGAAACATTGATTATTATGTCCTATAATTAAGTTGTTTTCACTTTTTGTATGGTTTGTTGGTTTGAATGACCCAACAATCTATGGCTTGAATCGCCTTTTTAACTCCAGTATGCACTTTCATATTCTTTCTTTCTTTCTTTCTTTCTTTCTTTCTTTCTTTCTTTCTTTCTTTCTTTCTTTCTTTCTTTCTTTCTTTCTTTCTTTCTTTCTTTCTTTCTTTCTTTCTTTCTTTCTTTCTTTCGATATATAGATAGATAGATAGATAGATAGATAGATAGATAGATAGATAGATAGATAGATAGATAGATAGATAGATAGATAGATATTTCTTTCTTTCTTTAGATAGATAGATAGATATTTCTTTCTTTCTTTAGATAGATAGATAGATAGATAGATAGATAGATAGATAGATAGATAGATAGATAGATAGATAGATAGATAGATAGATAGATCGATAGATAGATAGATAGCAAGTACTTGCACTAATGTACACAGCAATGGTGTAGTGCATATTGTGCATTCTACTGTTAACATGTTTCTTTCCATACAGTAAGTGAGTGAGTACATCAAAATTGACAGTTGACCTTTTCCCAGGCATTGATACAACAGTGTTCCCCCTCTTTCAGAGGCCCCAGGGCCGCCTCTTTGACCTCTCTGATGAGCCTCTACAAAGTCATTGATTGGTTCCTCTCCCTTGCTGTCTATCCTGCTGTATACTAACAAACTGCAAATGCTCACACAAATACTTTACATACAATAAATGGTCAACTGTAGTGGTTATACTGTAGAAATAATTAATTGGTTTTGAATATGTAGTTTAGATGTTTATACTTTACAAACACAATGTGTGCACCTGCACAAGGGCTGGGCAATAATGTCGTCCAATAGCTTGTCGAGTTGCAATCCTTTTCATCTAGCAACCTGTCACTCACATGACAGCGATGAGCGATCCAATCAATTCCCTATGCCCTACATTCTAGAAGCCATTTTATTTTTATATATGTCACAATAAAGAGGGAAAATACAATAGTTTCATGTCGACTTTAAGATCAGTGAATTCTAGATCATATGCAAGTGAAAAGTTCATGTTAATTGCATTTTGAAAGACTGCTACTTATGCCACTTAAATTAAAAGGTATCTAGATGAAATCTTTAAAAATTAGCTTAAGCATTTGGGAAATAGCCATGATCATGATTATCATAATTTGTACATTGAGTTTGGAAAATGTGCCACTTAATCATGAAAAAAGATGCCAAAGTGACATAAAATTGTAAATCTACTGTACATTGAAAATAAACTAGTTTTATAACATATTATCTTCCAGAGCGGGTCAAGGCAGCAGAATGGTAAATGTTATTATATTGGTTGCTTAGGAAGATGAATAATCAAAATAATACTTACAGTAAAGCATATTCAACATTAACAATCAAATATCTGATTTCAGGTCAGTATGGTCTTACTCAAATCCCTAGCCTACACTCAGCTGTAAGAAGAGGAATAGGTTTACTTTTCACTAAAACACAGAGCTTTGTTTATGCTTTTGTTGTTTGGACTGATGTGGTCAAGGTCTTGGTCATCACCATGGTCACTGGTCAGTACAATTGTGTGAATCCAATGTGGTCAATTGCCAAAGGCGGGTCATAAACAAAACAGCTGAGCTCAGTATCTGGAAAGCCCTGTGATGGGCTGGACTGTTTAGATCAACATCATCATAGCAGAGCTGAACTGAATGTAATACAGTAATGCTTTGCTATAGCTGTATTCTAAAGAAAACTAGGATTTATCTCTGTAAGAGTGAGTAAACCCTACCATGAAATTTCTGTTTAAAGCAATGCATATTATATTGTGAAATATTGTCTTAATAATGATCATGATTATTAATGTCATGATTAACTTTGCTTTTTCTTTGATGCTAAACTTGGTGTTGTTGTTGAGTATGTTAAATATGCATTTAATATTATTTTTGAGCAATTGGAAAATTAGAGCCACTTGTAGATTATAAAACTGTATATGAATTTGTCTTTCCTTTTATGCTTTTGTTTTCTTACACTTTACCTGATTGCTTATTTATGTACAAACTTGGGTTGTTACAATAGCAGAATTTCAATAGTGGACACAAAAAGCAATAACATTTCATGATATTTTGACACCACAGAACTCATTATTAAATGAGTTACACTGGTTATATAATAAGTTTAAATCTGACAGGAAAATTCTGTAATCATTTACTCACCCTGATGTCATTCCAAACCCATAAAACTTTCATTCATCCTCAAAGATAGGCAGAGATTTCTGTACATTGAAAGTCCATGCAACCAAAACTTGCATGTTTCAGAGAGTTTATAAAGGCATCGTAAAAGTAATCCATATTACTTTAATTTTTGTAAATTACATATACTAATTTTTATATGTGTGTGTGTCCACACACACACACACACACACATATATATATGTGTGTAGATGCAATGTTTTGACACATCAATTTTTATTGTGTGGCTCAAAGCTTTTCTTTTCCATCCACTTTCATTATATGAAAAAATGGCTGGGACATTCTGCTAAATATCTCTTTTTGTGTTCCATACAAGAAAGAAAAATAAAGGTTTGGAATGACTTGAGGGTGATTTTTATTTTTTTCATTTCACATTCCTTTAATCTGGTTTTGATCACATCTCTTAATTATTATTCATTAACAAATTCATATTCAAAAAGCTTAAATTCTTGGAACTGTATTGTTTATTATAGCTGTGTGTGTGTGTGTGTGTGTGTGTGTGTGTGTGTGTGTGTGTGTGTGTGTGTGTGTGTGTGTGTGTGTGTGTGTGTGTGTTTCAGTCCCACAGCGTCCCTCTTATTCTGACTGCCTTACTGTGAGTCAGCACTAATGATGCATGCTGACAAAAGCAGCTGTATCTCATTGGCTTGCGCTTTCTCATGTTCTCTCTCTCTCTCTCTCTCTCTCTCTCTCTCTCTCTCTCTCTCTCTCTCTCTCTCTCTCTCTCTCTCTCTCTCTCTCACACACACACACACATTTTTGCTCCTGCATCATTGTTCACCTTAATCTGCTAATGCCCTATTGGCTGAGAAACAGACTCGCATTGGCGGCATCTGCACCTTCATCTCCTCTAAGTCTCAGAATTACATCACAATCCCACAATGCTTTGCAAAGAGTACTGCAGTGAGTTAGCATTTAGAGAGAGTGAGTTGATGAGAGGAAAAGGGGAGGGGAGGGGAGGGGAGGGGGGGAGTGAATGTTTACATGCTGAATTTATGAATGACGTAGAGAGTGAACGAAAGAAAGGTGTGGCCTGATTAAAGATCCAGAGAGAGCGAGAGACCAGTAATCCTTCTCCTCATATGCTAGTTTGAAATGAGCTGTCATCCTTTTTCTGGCTTAGCTGTGTTCAGATTTCCTCTCTTCTCAGTGCAGACGTGAAACGCAGCATTTGTTGGGTATCAACATGTGGGATGGTGCCTTGAGAACAGCTGGTTGATGGTAGGTTACAGCTGGAGCTCTTTCTGATATACACTGTTGATGCTCCATTGATTCTCTTGCTGCTGGTAACATTTTGTCACTGGATGATAATACTCAATGACATGATGTTTTTACACTGTTATTTTGGCCAGAATGTAGGCTTCTTCTTTTATTCTGATTCTGCAATACTTCATTATTGCTCATTTGTTTGTGTAAAAAAATTATATCTTGATAGGTGATGTATATTTAGGATAATCTGTTCTTGATGCATCATTATGGTTGGCATAAGGACTACAGTAACTGCATTATTTTGTGACTTCTGGTGTGTAGTGTTAGCCTAAATGATCTGTTAATTTATAGGGGTAAATTCCTGTTGTTATTCAGTCTGGTATTAAAATCAGTGTCATCTTTATCATGCACTCTTTGATGTGACAGAGAAATTCTGCACAAGGCTTGCTTATATAAATATTATGTAACAGACCCAAGCAGGGATGGTATGCGGAAAATTACAAGGGCTTTAGGAGTCTGGGAAATGTGTTTGTTTTAGAGTTGCCTGACTATTGTAATATATATATATATAGACTGGTAAATGACTGGTAAACATAGACACTAATTGTTAAAATAGAAATATTGTAATGAGGTTAGATGTTGTAGGAAGAAGGCGGGAACCGGTGAACATTTAAAGATTTTAATAATAAAATAAATCAACAACAAAACAAAAGTAAAAGACAGCAGCCCCTCACGGACGACTGCTGTCACATAATAAAACATAAAAACCACAACAGTTCAGGCCTGTCCTCTCTCGATCTCCACTGTCGTCGCTCCTCCTTTTATGCTTCCGCTCCTCCGTGAGAGATACGAGATCGGTGCGTCGTGCAGGTGTCGCTCATCAGTAATCACGCCACCGGCCTCGCGCCGCTCTCTCACGGCCCTCGGCCTCGTCCTGCTGGCCACAAATATACACTGAACAAAATTATAAACACAACACTTGTTTTTGCCCCCATTTTGGGGGCTGAACTCAAAGATCTAAGACTTTTTCTATGTACACAAAAGGCCTATTTCTCTCAAATATTGTTCACAAATCTGTCTAAATCTCTGTTAGTGAGCACTTCTCCTTTGCCGAGATACTCCATCCACCTCACAGGTGTGGCATATCAAGATGCTGATTAGACAGCATGATTATTGCACAGGTGTGCCTTAGGCTGGCTACAATAAAAGGCTACTCTAAAATGTGCAGTTTCATCACACAGCACAAGGCCACAGATGTCGCAAGTTTTGAGGGAGCGTGCAATTGGGATGCTGACTGCAGGAAGGTCCACCAGAGCTGTTGCCCGTGAATTGAATGTTCATTTCTCTACCATAAGCCGTCTCCAAAGGCGGTTCAGAGAATTTGACACTACATCCAACCGGCCTCACTACCGCAGAACACGTGTAACCACACCAGCCCAGGACCTCCACATCCAGCATCTTCACCTCCAAGATCGTCTGAGAGCAGCCACCCGGACAGATGCTGCAACAATCGGTTTGCATAACCAAAGAATTTCTGCACAAACTGTCAGAAATCGTCTCAGGGAAGCTCATCTGAATGCTCGTCTTCCTCATCGGGATCTCGACCTGACTGCAGTTCGTCGTCGTAACCGACTTGAGTAGGCAAATGCTCACATTCAATGGCGTCTGGCACTTTGAAGAGGTGCTCTCTTCACGGATGAATCCCGGTTTCCACTGTACAGGGCAGATGTGCATATGGCGTCGTGTGAGTGAGCGGTTTGCTGATGTCAACGTTGTGGATCGAGTGGCCCATGGTGGTGGTGGGGTTATGGTATGGGCAGGCGTATGTTATGGACAACGAACACAGGTGCATTTTATTGATGGCATTTTGAATGCACAGAGATACCGTGACGAGATCCTGAGGCCCATTGTTGTCCCATTCATCCACGACCATCACCTCATGTTGCAGCATGATAATGCACGGCCCCATGTTCCAAGGATCTTTACACAATTCCTGGAAGCTGAAAACATCCCAGTTCTTGCATGGCCAGCATACTCACCGGACATGTCACCCATTGAGCATGTTTGGGATGCTCTGGATCGGCGTAGACGACAGCGTGTTCCAGTTCCTGCCAATATCCAGCAACTTCGCACAGCCATTGAAGAGGAGTGGACCAACATTCCACAGGCCACAATCAACAACCTGATCAACTCTATGCGAAGGAGATGAGTTGCACTGCGTGAGGCAAATGGTGGTCACACCAGATACTGACTGGTTTTCGGAAGTTCAATATTTAAACTTCAAGTTCAAATATTGAACTCTGTGATTTGACACCATGTCAAGTTAAAAATAGTTCACCAATTTACATCAAATCAATGTTGCTTTTAAAACAATGGACCAATCAGATCAATATACAGATACATTCACATATTACGTATTAGGGTACGCTATCTGTTTTATTTGCATCAGTGTATGGGAGTTAATTCTAGGGGTGTGCCGGTTTCAGAATTGGTGATGACGGTTATGACGTGAGTCAAATGTGACGGTTCGTAACATAACCGTCGTCGGATTAGCTACTGGCTCTACGTTTATTTAACATGAACAGCAAGACAACTAGAAGTGAATGTGCTTTCCATTAAATGCATCACACAGTAAACAAATCTTTAACTAACAAAACAAACAAACGTTGCAATGAACGTGCTTTTTTTTAATAAATCACACACAGTAAACAAAACCTTAACGAAAAAACTTTGGAATGAACTTTGCAATTTAGGCGCGCAAACTGCGTGCCGGCGCGGTGAGACGTGCATGCTCGGGCAGATTCGGCTTGAAGTCGGTCATCCTCGGACGCGGCGCCGCGCGCGCTGTTACAAAAAAAAGCCGTGCACACAGCCAAGCCAAATGGGGTCTTGTGCACCGAACGCGTCATTTTCGCCGCGCGCACCTTCGCGATCGTGCGGACGCGTCGAGGCTTTAAGCCTTGTTTATACTCGACGCGTCCGCAAGAGCGCGAAGTGCGCGCGGCAAAAATGACGTCATTGCGGTGTGGGCGGTCGTGCGCGTTGGGTGCGCAAGACCCCATTTCGCCTGGCGGTGTGCACGGCACTTTTTGTAACATCGCGCGCGGCGCCGCATCCGAAGATGAACGACTTCGAGCCGAATCTGGCCGAACTGGTGCGTCTGTATCAGCATGTTTATGATCCTTCTATACACAGAGACATTTGCATTGATGGGCGACCATAAAAGCCTCTCATTTTTTGAATAGGAACACATTTACATTAAGCACCCAGTTTGCACTCTAAAGTAACTGCTTATATTTACAAAATAAGCCTACAATAGCAGAAGTAAGCCCTGCTGATGAAATTAAGGTTTAAACACTCTTCAATAAGGCTTCAGTTGTTTACTAGTTTACATGCAGTGAAAGTACAATAAACCTACTGCATTTATTACTCTTTTTATATGAATCAGAAATTAATAAACTACTAATAAATGGCAAACTACTTCTTCACTGCTGATTCCTGGTGGTTTAGAGGAGAATTACTCCGAGTCGCCCCCTGTCGTTTCACAGAATAGCACAACGGCGAGCGCGTCAAGTATAAACGCCTCGTCCATATGGAGAGGTCCGCGCGCAGTCAGCGGAGACTCGCGCTCGTGCGGACGCGTCGAGTATAAACAAGGCTTTACTCCGTGTCAGCGCGCGCTCTGATCGGTAAAGGGGCACAGACCTCTCCCGAATCATCTCCAGCACTCAGCCTCCGTTTCCCTCTTAAGCTGATATTAGTATTTAAACATTCTCTATGATAAAAAATGTTTGTAAAAAATATTTTAATAGCACGGTTTTGGCGGTTATAGAGTTCTAATGACGGTGTTCAACTATAACCGTCGGTCTCACGGTTATATAATAACCGTCACACCCCTAGTTAATTCACTTCCATTGTGTTCCGTTTAGTTGGTTTTAATTTAAGAAATTGTCCTATGTGAACGCCCCCTTATGCTCTGGTTCAGATATTCATGGCCTCCTTACGTCTCTCAATGTTGCTATGGTGATATGTTCTCAGCGAAGTTCTTTTCCAGTAGAACGAGGGGGTGATGCCCTTGAGGGATCCGCTCCAGCACTGTGGCTGTGTCCTGCTTCTCTCAGTCTCACTGATCTACAGTATTTGTGACATGCCCTACATTGCAAGCTAATCTGCACTTCCTGTGAATCATATCTAATGTTTCTATTTTAGATGACAGTTTGTGGATGTTTTCTCATAAATTGCTTGTTACATCTCTAATGCCAGTGTCTTACTAGTCATTTTCATCCCAGCTGATATTCAGTTGTAATATGAGCAATTGTATGATATGTAGCCTACAGCATCTTGTTATATACACAGTCGGGAACATCCCAAGGTCTGACAGATGATCCCACAATTTACTCTTTTCATTAGTTCTTCTGATGTTATCAGTGATATCCTACTTCCTCCGTATTTCCTCAACGCAACTGGGCGAGTCAGATTTATGAAAACTATATAGGCATCGATGATGTTTAAATGTGGGTTCATGTGTTCATGCATTCAAATGCACACATGTCAGACATTTGCAGAAGTACAGAACAAACTGTTTGCAGCTTAGTTTCAACCGTGGAGAAAGTTGTTTGTGTTATTGAACTATTATTTATAAACTATTAGTCATTTATTTTTATGCTGTCCGTTTAAATTTTTATTCATTTATTTTTTCAACTTATGTGCTCTTCGAGTCTTGTCATTTTTTTTAAAGCTCCAGTCCGTAACTTTTTTGGGTTAAAAATTATCCAAAATAATTTTTTGAGCAAGTACATAACCAGCCATAGCTCAATTCAAAACGGTAAGCTTGTAATAATGTTTTTAATTCCAGTGGTACTGGTGGATTTCCGGGGGAAATTCGAGCATGTCTTTGCGTCATTACGTCACATCTGTACACATAAAGAAGAGTCTCGGCTAGTAGCCTATATTGAGTCATTACGTCACATCTGTACACATAAAGAAGGAGTCTCGGCTAGTATAAGCTATAT